CACAGGTGGCTTTCAGAGGGCCTGGCAAGGTAGGTGTGTGCTGAACAGACGTTAAGGTGGCTCATGACCTCCTCCTGGTGGTCACATCTGTGTGTCGTCCTCTTCCTTGAAAGCAGATGGGACCTGTGCCTTGCTTCTAACTAGATACACAAAAGTGATGGCATGTCACTCCTGTGATTATATTACATTATTTATTTAAGACTGTCTTGCTAGCAGACTTGCTCTCTTTCTCAGTTGCTGGATTTGGGGAAGCAACCTGCCACGAGGTGAGAAGGCCTGTAGAGAGGGCTACCTGGCAGGAAACTGCAGACAGTCTCTAGGGCCTGACAGTGGCCTCCAGCTGACAGCATGAAGCCCTTCAGTCTTACAGATGCAAGGAAATGCATTCTGCTGACACCCCGAGGGAGCTTGGAAGTGGATCCTTCCCCAGTCCAGCCTCTGATGAGACCACAACCCTGGCCACAGCTGGGCTGCTGCCTGGTGAGACCCTGAGCAGAGGGTGCAGGTCAGCCTGGGCCAGACTCCTGATGTGCAGAAATTGTGTGGTGACCATGTGTGTTGTTCTCAGCTGCTAAGCTTGTGGTGACTTGTACTGCTATAGATAACTAAGATGGTGTTCAATTAAAGGGAGTGCAAGGGGTCAATGAACAGGTACATGAAGAATCCTGGCAGTCCTTAGCATTTTTGAACTCCCTGGGAAAGGAGGTGTGAGGTTGAGAGAATTGGAGGGGTGGGGGAATGAGGCCCAGTGGTGGGATTTTGTTCTGGCTGGTCCTTCTGCCAGAGGTGGCCTGTGTGGATGGCAGGAAGTCAGCTGCTGGGGCTGGAGTTGGCCGTATGCCTTAAGTGCATTTCACTCTGTTTCTCATGGCACCAGAGATTTCATTATCCACAATCCATTCTTGGGATCTTAAGATTTTCTCTGTCTTAAGTGTCCCCCATCACTAGTCAGACATGGTAGAATTTGGAGCAATTCACTAGACAGTTTTAGAGAAACCACTCAGTACCAGGAGACAGCATGGGCAACAGCAAGTAAAATGCAGGTCTTCATGCCCATGGCTTGGACCTCAGTAGTTGAGACAGATGCAAGAACCAGCAACCATGGTACACAGGGGGAGGGAGGCCCGAGCGGTGGGCAGAGGAGGAAGGAGTTCTCCACCTGGGCAGGGGGAAGGAGGGAGGGCTCCCCAAGGGCCACTCCGAACCATGTAGGACCATGTGATGTGCTGTGGCCTTTAAGAGGGAGCAGGATGCCCAGGGTAGAGGAAAAAGAGTGTCCCAGCTGCATGAGGAGGGAGCCCTGCTGAGCTCACAGCCTGGCCCTGGTCTCACCCTGACCTCCACAGCCTAGGGAGGCCCCACCCAGTGTGAGTCAAGCGTCAGGGCTGGAGCACCCACCAGGGGGTGATGGGGTCCAGTCACTGTCTCCAGGACTGTCCCTGGTCCTTGGGGAGGCCCTGTGGCCACGAGGGGACACTGCCCCATGCCCTGTTACAGCCCAGGCCAGCCTCTTCTCCAGGAGCCCTGGCCTCTCCTAGAAAGGCTAGCCCAGAATCAAGTGTGAGATGGGCTGTGAGGCAGGGGAGGGGAGTCCTTTCAGGACACTAAAACGGAGCTGCGATTATAGGTGAACTTCATTTCAATCCATTAAAGCCAAGAGGAGATGGAGTTTTTCCCTTTGACTTTGCCAAGTGATGGAGCATGAGTGGCCCAGCTTCCTGATCTGAAGCAGAGCAAAACGTTTCTGGGAAAATAAACAAACGTGGACAAAAAAATAGATGCTGATGTGTCTGAGCCAGCAGTGAGCCTTTGATTAGGTTGCGCCAAGGGACCAAAAGAGCGAGACCGATGGGCCTGGCAACAGGATGAGGCAGACTCTGTTAGAGGCTGCCCTGAGTCACACACAGCATTTACAGAGGCTGCAGGAGGAGAGACGGCCACCTGGGAAAGGGACCAGACTAGGGCTTGGTGGAAAGAAGCGCACCATGCTGCTGACGTTGGCAGTGCTGCACAGCGATGCCTGCTCCTTTCGACTTTCCTTCTCTTTTATTAATTTTATATTTCAGGCATTGCTTAACGGTGAATTTGTCTTTTTCTTGAAGATTCTCTTGGCCTCCTCCTCACTGGTTTGGCAGGACACCTGGCTTTTGGAAGAATGACCATTTTGCTGTGCAGTCTGGTGTGGCTCAGAAGCCATGTTAATGTTTTTTGTTTTTTTTTTTTTTTAAGATGGAGAAAGAAGGTGTGCTGGGATGTGGGAGGGGTAAGGAAAGGAAAGGCTAAGAGTGGGGTGGGGATGTCGGGAGCTTTCTTCCTACTAGATGGAGATAGCCGATGCATTTCAATTCACTCGTACCCTTTTGTTGAGAGAGGATGTAGCCATGGTCCAGGGCATCAGAACCCATTTTCCTCCACATTTGCGAGTAATTAGGACTTTCAGTTGGACACGGTCGCTCCAAGTCTCAAGCTCTCTTTCCTCACTGGTGTGACGAGGGTGGATGCTCTTTAGCTCACAGAGTCTTAGTTTGAGGCAAAATCACAAGAAATGTGAATAGTGCTTTGGAAAGGATAAGACAGCCATGACAACATGCTTTCTATTTATTTCTATGGAAACAGCTGGTGGGCAAGTCAACCAGGGCGGCTGTCTCAGAACCCGGCCAGCACCTGAGCGGTCTGGGGGCCTCCCACTCCCCTTGCCCTTGCCAGGCAGGTCTCACCTGGACTCTGCACAGCCCCCAGTCCTGCCCTCTCAGCCACCCTCCCCACAGGGCTCATCCACTGCTACCCAGTAGAGGGCACCCGGAGTCCCTTTAACAGCGGCTTGTCTGCACAACCTCCTCGAACCATTTAGTTTATTATAGTGGAAATTATCTGTAATTATGGCAAAGAACAGTGCCCTTGGGCACCCAATGTCAGAGTTTGGCAAAGCAAGGCAGAGAGCCCTGCTGCTGCCTAGGCTCAGGAGCCAGGGCTGTTCTCAGAGCTTTCTTCCCACTCACTCCCTCTCGGGACTTTGTGGGAGAAGGAGGGTGTGAAGTGGCTCCAAGGCAGCCCCCTCCACATGCGTCCCATGGAGTCTTCTTTCCTATACTTCACTCATCCATTCGTTCATTCACTGGTTTCCGGTGTACAGTGAGTCTGCAAGCCAGGGGGCTAGGTGAGGGAGGAGGAGTGAAGGCAGGGAGACAGAATCAGGTAACTCACCAGTGCATCCACACGCTGACTATTCAGGGAGTGCTTGTTGGGTTACACAGCTACTGATGGAGTCCACCCCTAAATAACTAAGCAGAGTTGTGGGATGGTTGAAGCTTGACCTTAGAGAGACCTTGGAGGGAAGGACAGGTGGACTTGGCAACCCCCACTGTGGAGATGCAGGGTCTCCTTTCTTGCCCTCTGGGGGCAGTGCTGTTTGGGGAGTGAGCTGGGAGCCAGTACCGTGGAGAGCCACAAATCTCCTTTTGCCTCTGCCTGTGGCCCCTCTTCCTGGGCCAGCCCTGGCGGTTGTCGTCCTCACCAGTGGAAAACATCTGCTGCAGTGGTTTGCCCAGGGCTAAGGAAACAGCAAGTTCTTCCCCCAGCACGGGTGGGGCCCACCTGCCTTGCCTGGGAGGAGATGGGGTGGGTTCTTGTTGATGGATTAAATTGTCCTGCCTTAGGTGATGTGCAGTGCACATCCTGGGAAGGAGAAGCTTGGGCCTAAGCACCCGATTAGGGCAGAGGCTGGGCTTAAGCTGGAACCTGGGCTTATGCTGGAGGCTGCATGGATGCACAGCCAGGATTTCTAGAGCCTTTCATTCTCATAGGGCCTCTGACAGAAGCCAGGTTCAAGACTTGCTTAGGGAGACACAGTAGACATAGCCGAGGAGGGCCAGGAGCTGGGAAGAGCTCATTTTGATTCATAACAGGTCTAATAAAAGTAGAACATGAATTTAGGGTTTGACAGGATACCAGAATAATTGAAAATGTCCTTTAAGAAGACATAGCCAGTAGAAAACTAGGTCAAATTAGATATGGCAGGTAAAAGCCTTGCCAGAAAGAACTGGGAGCTGCAGCAAGCTTGAACTTCTGGGGCAGAGAAGTCAGCACATGACCATGATGTGCAGAAGGCCAGGCAGCAGCTGTGTCAGGGCCAGGAAGCCCTAGAGGCAGGGGGTCTTAGAGAGGGGCCTCAGGAACCCTGCAGAGTATGAAGACCAGACAGGTTTCCCTGGGGACATAGGGCTCTCCATGCTCACCTATTCTCCCTCTTGCTAGGATGCCCTGATGTCTCATGACACACAGCCATGCTGAATGCCACTAGAGGTCATGCCATGGGGTCCAGCTCAGGTGGGGGCCCAGGTGCTTCCTTCCTCAGCCTGTGCTGCAGCACTGGTGGCAGCTCAAATCACGCATACGTTTGAAACTCCAAACACCCAAAGTAAACCCCGAAGCTAGCTCTCCAGTCCTCCCAGGGGATGTCATTCAGGACTCCAAGGAAGATTCCGAGGGAGGGGAGGAACAGGGGTCCTCCTCATGGGGTGACTTGGTGCCTCGTGCCTATCTCTGGGGTCCACTCAGATCCCAGGATGGCTTTGTGTGTGTACTGCCAAATTTAGCCACTCTGTGATTCCATGGGACCATCCTGTTCCTTCTGATTTTTTCTGGCTCTGCAGACCCCACTTTCCCATATCTAGTTTCTTTCTGGTGCCTGCAAGGCGGACATGCATCATTCCCTCCAGGAAAGGTCCAGCACCTCTTCCGTCCTGCACTTTGCTTGATTAGGAATCACATGCAGCTCATACTTGTGCACTTATTAATTAAGATAGAGCTGTTGCTTTTTCTCCTGTGAAGGTATGGAATGGAAGCTGTGGGTCTCATGCTGGAAAGCAGGCTTGCCTGGCCCAGCCCTCTTGGCTTTCTGCCATCGTTTGCACCTCGGTGTCTTGTTGGGCCCAGACATCCACCCCTCACTGGGCTCTCATCCAAAGACAGGAGAGGGAAGGGCCAAAGAGCAAGGAACCTCGGGGGCTGCAGTACTTAGGATGGTTATGCTTCCACAGAGGAAATGCCAGGAGAGGTGGCCCTGGAGCTAGAGGCCCTTATGAGGTGCAGGAGGCACAGCGAGCAGAGCCCTGGGCACTGAGCATTGTGTTCAGAGGAAACAGCTGCATCCCAGCCAAGGCCGGAGTAACAGGTGTGTTCCCAACTGAGAAAACGGTAAGTAGATGCACAGTTAGGGCCTGTGATTAATCCCACACCTACAGAAATAATCAGATGAAGGTCTGTCTGGGTAGGACGCTGGAAGCAGGAGGTGCTGTGGACCTGAGGAAAGGCTCCTGGGTGTGGCATGAAGGGATGGTTAGATCCTGCCTTCTGGAGCTGAGCTTGGACTTTCAGCCCCAGTCCAGCTCTGTCATTGGCAGTCTAGTCCCGCTTTTCCTTCCCTTGGTTCTGGTGCACAGGTGTTTGTGGCTGGCCCCAGTCCCCAGGTGCTCTGCTGATTCACAGAAGCTGGCAGGCGGCAGCCACTGTGGTCAGGGCAGCACAGCTGTCTTCATCTGGGGCGTCCTCATGCACCTGCTGTCAGCAGGCCCTCCTACCCTGACCCTGGAGGACAATCTAGGAGCCCGGGAGCCTTTCTGAAAGGTGGATGCATGGAGAGGAAAACCTGGCCTCAAACCTCACCGGCCCAATGGGAAGGCTGATGTGGATGCTGCCTCTGCCTGGCAGGCTTCCTGTGCCCTGCGTCGGCGTCCTGCCTTGGCCTGGCAGTGTGTGGGAAGCAGTGATGAGGCACCCAGCATGCTGAGCCCCCAGGAGGAAGGCGGCTCTAGTCCTGGGAATTCAGCGAATTTGTGCCCTGGCTCCAAGGAGCTTCAGTTCCCAGCTCTCTCTCTCCTCTCCCTCTGTCCTGATCTCTAGGCCATGCCCCAGGCAGCATCTGACCTGCCCTGTCTTTGTTCCCCTGCCCCACAGCCTTGCACGCACAGATGGATGGAATGCACAGAGGAAAGAATGAATGGTTGCTTAATGTGAGGGGAAGCCAGGCAGCCAGTGACATGTAAAGCTGGAAGAGAACCTACAGAGGGTTCCCCTGAGTCCCTCAATTTGTCTGAAGGGGCCCCTCTTCTATGTTTGCTTGAGGAAGGGGCTGGGAACTTTGCCTGTGTTGACAGGGGTCTCCTGGGGTCTGGGGTGCGGGGTGGGCAGATCCTAGCTCATGGCAGGCAGGCATTCATCGTCGTCTTTGCATTTGCCAGAAGGTTTCCCTCCTCTCCTGAGTCCTCGGGCTGTCTCCGTGGCATCTTCCACGTTTGAATGATGACTCATGGGTGTCTTTCCTCTCTGCTTCTGGAGATAGTTTTAGGCTTGGGGAGGGGGTGGAATCCCACAAGAACAGATGCACACTGCCTCCTTTGCACCTACCCCGTGGCTGTGTCTGAAAGCTTCCATTTTCTCCAGGAGGACAGGCGGCAGAGAACCATCCAATTCCCTCTGCATGTGCAGCGCTTTTTTGGAATTCAGTTCTACATCAGGTGGTGCGTCTCGCCAACTCTTCAAAATTCAATCAGCTACAAGGCCTTATATTAGAACAACAAACCTCTTGGAAATTCAGCGCTGAAATCCCTTTATGCACCAATTCTCTCAGAAACCTGAGTCAGATAGTCACAGTTCTCCATGTAGCCTATTTTTATGTCTGGTCTCTTGGAAATTTAGCACATAGTGGGAGCTCAAACATTTTGCTTAATCATTGCAGGACTGTTAATTTCTGTGCCACACTGAGGACAAGCTATTTAAAGACCCTGTATGTATGGGGCTTAAGGAGCTTAAAGACATGATTCTGTAGAAACATGATTCCATGGAAACAATGTTGCTTCTATGCTTGCCTCTAACATGTCACATTCTTTTGTATTTTAACGTTACTTCTCATGTTGTATTGACCAGGTGCAGTTTCATCTTCTGAATCCAAGAACGGAAGCACAATGGGACCTGGGCATCCAGTACTACTCACTCAGGAGCACATGTGACCAGCCCCTCAGAGCCTCTGAGGTAGGAGGCAGGTGCATCACCTTCCAGCCCCATAGTCAGGTCCCGTGACTCCTTTGCCTGTGGGCTGTGCCATCATTGTGCCACATGATTGTGCAGTTGCTTTGTGCTTGGAGTGTTTGTCAGAAAATGTTCCCAGGGCAGATGGGTGCGAAGGCAGCATCCTCCCTTGGCCGAGGTGACACCCTCCAGGCTGGGAACAGAGTCTGGGAGAGTAAGGAGCACTTGCTCCTTTCTCTGGGGACTGTGCTGTGTGTCCTGACAGGGTGTCCTGGTTCTCCCCTTTGCCCTCACACTCTTTTCCCACAGTGAGTCCTGGTACGCTCTTGCTCAGAGCCTGCAGTGGGATCCACCATCCCTGCAGTGGCCCCCAAGGGCGCCAAGACCCAGCAGGACCTGCCTCGACCTTCCAGTCTCACTTCTGTCCACTCTCTGCTTTCCTCTTGCCCGTCCAGCCTGACCTCGCTGTCCCTCCAGCACCCAGTCACAGCCAGGCCTCAGGGCCTTTGGCTGTGTGGTTTGCCTGGAGCACTCTTTACCCAGACATCTGCTTGGCCAATGTCCTTGGCACCTTCTCTTTGGCACACCCAACTACCTTATTTAACACCACAGAGTCTGTCCCTCTCCAGCCCACACTCAAGACCCACGTGTCTGACTGCTTTCTTTCCTTCCCATACTTACAGTCGTGGAACATGCAAGCTGTTTACTCCTATTCTGTTGTTGTTTGTGAGTCATTGCCAGTTTTGCTCCCCAACATCCTGAGCACTCAGCAGTCTGCCCTGCTTTGGCTCAGATGGAGCATGATGTGTGCATTTGGGTTTGTTGCATCTTCTCAGTTCAAATAAAACTGACAAATGGCAGCATTCTTCAGCAGACATCCAGCACAGCTTTGTCCATTTCATGTATTTCTGCTTCTGTCCTTATTATCTTGTATATTCTGTTTTCCTAAGGTTTATTCTGTTTGAAAAAAATAGGTTTTCTTAAGTTCATTCATCCTCAGACTTCCTGCTTTTCTAAAACAGCCCTAGTATCATGTAACCACTCTTAGAACCTTTTTGTTGTACTCTGCAGTGTACTCTGCAGGTTTTGACAGGTACTCTTAATGATTATTCAATATTAGGTACTGTTACTTATAAATTATTTAGAAATACATGGTGATTCATTGTTACCTCCTTTTTCCTGTTTTAGAGGTTATGCCTCTGTATTCTTTGACAGAGGCTAACATTTACAGACTGCATGCCTCACTTATCAAAGTCTGATGTTAATTGGTGATTTTGTATATGGGCACTCTCTTTTCCAAATATATTTTAAAAATCTTTTTATCATCGATTTTTCACTTAATTGTATTGCGTTTAGAAAATATGGTGTACAGATCTAAGTTTTGCAATCTTTTGAGACTTGTTATTTAGTCCAATGCATAAGCAATATTTGTAAATGTCTGTGATCTTATAAGAAATAAATCCCACCAATTAATGGGTGCATGTTCTGCACATACCTGTCAGATCATGTTTGTTAGTTGTGTCATTTGTGTCCTTGGTAACCATTTTTGTCTGCTTGACCTATCGGTGATAGTGGCTTTATCAACCTCTTATTGCAATCCTGCCAATCTTTGCTTTACATATTTGGAAGTTATTAGTTGCACACAAGTTTAGAAACACCGTATCTTCTTGTGTAGTGATCTTTTTCTCCCATATGATGTTTTTTGTCCTAAAGTCTATATATAGCTGCAGTAGTTTCTGTGATTAATAATTGCCTGGTGTATCTTTTTACTGTTATTTTCTTTATGCTGTATATATTTTAAAGTTTTAGACGTTTCTCTTTAAAACGCATATAATGATATTTTGTTTCTAATCCAGACTGACCATATTTGTATCTTCATGAAAGAGTTTTTAATCCATTTACCTTTAATCCATTTACCTGTGACTATTGATGTGTTTTTGCCCCCATATCGTATTTTACATCTTTTATTAGTTTTGTTCCTTCCTCCTCCATTCTTTCCCTTTTTGGGAAAAAATGGCAAAGACAGTTTTTGAACTCAGATTTCTCTAACACCAAAGACTGTATTCTTTCAACCTCTCCACTGTGGACTATGAAAATCCCCAAGTGGCATTTCTAACTCATATCTCAATTTTATGGCAGAGATTAATTGCATGTTTTTCTATTTCCTATTTCTCAACCTATCTGTTTGAATAAACATCTGAATGGTTTTATAGACTGGCTTCCTTGGTGCTTCTCAGATATCCCCCCATTTCCCTACAGGGTCTGTTATGCTTTTTCCTCAAATACCTATGAGGAGTTCTCACTTCTTTACCCCTTCTGGTTTGGCTTAAAGCGTGTCTTTTTACTGAAGCTCCCTCGACCATCTTAATAAAAATATCAAAACCCTCCACCCCTGCCATTCTTATCCCTGTCCTGCTTGACTCCTTGGAGGATGGGTGACTGCAGGCACCACCCCATGCTCAGAGGCTCTGTCAGGAGCCTGCACCCCACGCCTCACCCTATGCTGAACTTCTTCAGGATGGCATTTGACCTCCACCACACAGGATGAGTCTTCTGGGTAAATATTTTTTTCAAGTGTAGTGGCTCCCTTTTTTAAAAAGTCAGTGAATATGGCTTTTTCACATGCTAGCATTTTTTCTTTGTTGTTTTCTTCTTCTCATCCTTTCCACTTCTGCCCCCTTCCCCCAAAGCATGCACTGTGCAGTGTCCCCATCTCCTGCTCATCAAAACTCATGACCTTTATTCATACCATGGTGCTTCAGAAATGCCATTCACCTCCCTGCCCAACTGTGCAGCTCCCTCTGGGTGAAATATTGACTTCAATGGCCTCATCTTCTTTACATTCTCCAAAGTTTGTCATCTTTGTTAAATAATGAATGCAGCTTCTTGATGTTTCTCTCCTTAATGATTGCAAGAGAGAATGATGCTGTTATTTCCCAATTGATGCTGCCAGGGAGACAATTGGAGCTAGGAGTGGACCCAGAAGCAGCCTGCTGGAGGAAGCTGCAAATGTGATCATCATGAGGCTGGAGATGCTGAAGATCGGTGAACATTCCCAGTGACTCTGGCTCAATCTGGGACCCTGGCCAGAGCTACTGGTCACCAACACTATGCAGGGTTTGGGGCTTCAGTGCCTCCCAAGATGGATCTGCAGGTTCTTGACAGGTAACAAGGTGACCCCTGTCTGCTACTGACCCCTCAAGCTGGTCGGCACAGGTTTATAATGAACACCACGGTGTCATGTCAGACTCGGCCCCAGTATGAGACCAGGGGATGCTGAGTGTCTGCATTTCAGCAAAATGTAACCCATCTGTTTCTAGGCATTTGCCTGAGACAGATTGTGGTCTAGCCGTCCAAGGGGGATGTGGTGTCTGAAAGCCCCTTAAAAAGCTGATTCAAGGTTTATTCTCTCTTTTGAAGAGGTGAGTCATGTTTCACCAGCAGATACTTGTGACTCATTTTTAAAAAAGGGTTTTCATACTCTAAGCTGGTGGGGTTGAAGAGAATTACAAATCTGTGAGCCTTTCCCCATCTTTCTTACATCTGGATGGAAAACACAAGCTCATATTCAAGGAGGTCCTCAAAGCTGGACTGTGGCGTTTTGCACACATTATGAAGTTATTTCTACTTTTGGTTCTGAACCAGAATTGAGCCCAGAACCACCAGGGCTACCCCTCCAGGGTCACCTGGAGAATGGTTTCTGTGGTGATGGCTGGAATTGGGCTGGTGGTCCCAACTGAGCCACAGGTCGGGCCTCTTAACTGCACCAGGGTTAGAAGATGCTCCTGGAAGGGGTGGAAACAACTTTCCTCCAGGCAATACAACGTCTGTGGTTGGGGGATTGCCTTGGAGAGAACCTGATTGGGATTTTCCTGGGTAAGAGTTCTGAAACTTTTCCAAGTCGTTAGAGAAAGCCTGTCCAAGCAATTTCATAGAAAAAGCAACCTGAGTGTTGCACAGTCACCCACTCACTCAGCAGCACAGCGCAGTGCGGATCCTTGGGGTCCTCCCAGTTTGCAGTCACCCACTCACTCAGCAACACAGCGCAGTGCGGATCCTTGGTGTCCTCCCAGTTTGCACAGTCACCACTCACTCAGCAGCACAGTGCAGTGCGGATCCTTTGGGGCCTCCCAGTTTGCATAGTCACCACTCACTCAGCAGCACAGCGCAGTGTGGATCCTTGGGGTTCTCCCAGTTTGCACAGTCACCACTCACTCAGCAGCACAATGCAGTGAGGATCCTTGGGTCCTCCCAGTTTGCACATCACCACTCACTCAGCAGCACAGCGCAGTGCAGATCCTTGGAGTCCTCCCAGTTTGCACAGTCACCCACTCACTCAGCAGCACAGCACAGTGCAGATCCTTGGGGTCCTCCCAGTTTGCACAGTCACCACTCACTCAGCAGCACAGCACAGTGCGGATCCTTGGGGTCCTCCCCTGGCTTTGTGAACTTGCTGAAGCACCTGGCTCCAGCCCCATTGCCTCTTGTGTGAAATTAGGATAACGGATCCTCACAGAACTGAAGCATAAATTTAGTGAGTTATTACAGGAAAAGTACTGGGCTCTCTCTGGCACATCGTGGACACTGTGCATTCCAATTCCTTGCATTTCTGGGGACATATAGGAGGCATTTCTCCTTTCTCCCTTTAGAAATCACTCAAAACCACTTGGAGAAAAAAGCCGAAATGAGCCTTTTCTTGATGAATTAGGAGTGCGTGTCCTCCCCCCAGGCCCCCAACCACAGAGCATCTTCGCGTTTTTGAACAGCCACCTGGCTCCCGCCTCAGGGCCTTGGCACCTGCCCTTTCTTCTCTCAACACAGCATGTCCTCTGGTTGTCTGTGTCCTTGGCCCTCCTCATCTGTCATCAGGGATGACGACATCACTGACCTGCTGCTGAAGGTCGGTGCCGTCCTGCCCACACGTCTGTGAGCCCTCAGCAGGGTGCACACCTATTTGGTTGCATTGTGTACTTTCTAGTGTGCACTAAGTGCTTCCAACAGTGCCAGGCTCACAGCAAGCACCGCATCAGTGTCTGTTGCTATTATTATTATTATTACTACTACTATCATGTCTTTGTGGGATGAAGGAGGAGTGGCTGGGGGGCGGGCGAGGTGTGGTGGCAGAGAGCGCTTCCCGCCTGCAACACGTGCCTGGTCTGAACATTTCACATCAGATGCTTTCAGGCTCCTTCTCTTGGCAGGCCACCCAAAGGTTGTTTTTCTTTGCCTTGAAGAATTGCAGCACACTTTAGATCCATTCTGCATTATATGTGTGTGGTGTAGTTGGATCGATATGTAGATGGAGACATAGATAAAGACACAGATGTGGACCTTCAAGGAGAGCTAATGAGGTCAAGGGGTGTTACTGTGAACACACACAGGTACACATGGACACACACAGAGACACACACAGGCACAGAGAAACACACAAACACAGAGACACCAACAGACACACACACACACACACACGCGCACACACATACATATGCACACACACATCAGACCTGGAGACCGTAATCTAGGTCCTACAGAGAAGTTTTGAAACATTTCCGGCAAAATCCCATCCCCTCCTTGCTTCACCTCGCCCTTCCCCTGCCCTGAGGGGCACTGTCTGGTCCTAGGAGCAGGGCCAGCTTTCGAGTGCCCAGGTAGGGCTGCTGCTGCCTCCAGCCTCCAGCTCCATCCTGGCCAGCCAGGGCTCCTTCCTGCCGACTCTGCTTTCCCTTCCTGCACCTCTGGCAGCCTCCTCCTGGCTCTCAGCATCTTACCTAGTGAAAGCGAATGCAAGACAGACTGAAAACCACATCCTTACAATCCTGGGGACAGGACTTGCCTCACTGTAGCCCCGAGTGTCCCCTCTGCTCCTGGGCTTGGAGCAGCCTGGGTGTGCAAGTGCCGAGATCTGCAGATCTGGAGGAGTTGCTCCTGCTCACCCTGCCAGGGCCGTTCTCCCTTCTCCTTGAAGGAAGCCATCATTTCCTATGTGAAGGCATGGGCACTGCCCCGGAATTATCCTGCGAGGAACACCTTCATTTCTGTTTTACTGATTAGTACACCCAGGCTCGGAGAGGTTAATTAGCTTGCTCATGGTCACACACATCATCCACTGCAGAATTGAGACATGAAGGAGGCTCCTGTGCCCCAAATCCTGTTTTCTTCACCCCTTTGCTAATACTTCCAAAATTGTGGAAACAAAGCACATGAAGCCAAAGGAAGTCGGAGAGGCAGTGCAGCTGCTTAGAGATTTAGGGTCGAGGTCAGTTGCCTTTTACCCATGACTGCAGCTAGGCCACTTTACTCCTCCGTGCCTATAAAATGGGGAAATGACACATGCAGAGGCTGCTTCAGAGAGATGTCGAGGTGGTCAACTGAGAAGGAAACCTGCTAGGGAAGCCGTCAGGTACCCCACAGAAATGAATTACCCTTATCCTCCACAGCACTGGAATACACCAACATTAAACACGAAAGGACACCAGAAAATTTCTAAAAAGAATATGTGTTCTTCCAAGAGACAACCTGTTTTGTAAATGCACTTTCCTAAATCAGGGTTCCCTGATGCCCCGCCCTTCACCGTGGCCACGTTTCCCAGAGTCAGTGGGTATGAAGTTGAGCAGCACAGCCAGGGCCCCGCTGGGCTGGGATTGCAGCCTCCTCACTCAAGAAACAAGGAACCAGAGAATCTGCCATGGATGCTCAGCCCGCTTCCAAAAGACCTGAGACACAATTACACCATCTGTGTGGAAATGGAAGAACCTTGTCTACCATGGAGAAGGAAGGGGAAGGAATTACCGCCAAGGCCGGGCTCTGGGCGGTCATGGTGGGAGATGTTGATTCCTCCCATGGGCATCCTAGAGTGAGGGCAATGCCCCAGTCCCAGCACGTCTCCCCACACACATCCTCCTGGAGGGTGCCCGTGGGGTAGCCCTTGAGGGAGGGGAAGTGCTGGCGGATTCATCCAAGGGCCTGTGCCGGGGATGCGGACAGCCTTGCAGACTTAGCTGCCCTGGAGGGCTTGCTGCTGAGGCACAAAGAAAGTCCCGTGGCATTTTGTTGCTTAAACCCTCAATAGAAGTGAAGGGTGCAGAATAAAAATGTGACTCGGCCGAGGAGGCCCTGCGGGAAGCTGACCGAACGAAGCCACCCGACTCCACATCTCCACCTGCTGCTCACAGTGTCCACTGGGAAGGCCCAACGTCTGCCTTAAACTCACCATTCCTACAACGAGGGGGATTTGCCCAGCTTCCCTATCTGTGCCTGGGAAAAGGGTCACATTCTCCCTCCTGCTTCCTAGTCTGAGCAATGCAGGGCCGGGGACCAACTCTCAGTCTGCCTCCCGTCGCCCACAGGCCACCAACTGCCCCTCAGAGCACCTCGGCTTGCACTTCCCTAGCTATTCAGCACCGCACCCTACTCGTCGTCCTGCTGGTCTCTGGCCCGTGCTAGGATCGTGGCCCTCCAACAGGTTTCCCAGCCCCATCTCTCTCCTCTGGCATCCCCGTGCACTGCCAGCAGATCTGTCTTGGCCAAACTCTGCGTGGGGCGTGGAGCCACTCTGCTCAGAAGCCCTCAATGGCTCCCTGTTGCCTTCTCAGTCAGGGCCTCCCAGCAGAGGTTCCCCTTATTTCCCACTGGTACTGGCACCCCAGTCCCCAGCACGTGCTGGCCAAAGCCCCAGCCATGGCCCAAAGTGACCACCCTCAGTCCCTGCTCAAGGGGACTGAGCTCTACCATGCTGGGGTGGGGGCGGCCACCCAGCCAGTGGTGGGGCCTGACCATGTTGCCTGGTGCCAGGGCTCTGGCCAGGGGAGGTCATGGGGCCTGCCTGTCAGGTTCTTTGCAGACCTGCTCCCCTGGAGGCAGGTCCGGCAGCAGCAGAGGAAAGTGGAGCAAAACCCCTGAAGGAAGAGGAAATTTGGGGAGGGGCTCAGGTGCTGCTCTGCCCTCACCTAAGGAGCCTCATCTTGAACCTCTGTCCTCACAACCACAGGAGTCTGAGGCTCTGATGGTGCCCATTCTGGAACATTCTGGTTAGGACCACTGGCTCCTTGCTGCCAGAGAGCTTCAGCATGGAGCTGCCGCCTGGAATCCGGCAGTAGCTGTGCAGGGGAGGCAGGCATTGCAGATCGGCCCTGCAGTGCTCATGACAGGCGCCCTGGCACAGAACCTCTCTGGGCTTTAGTTACTTCTTCAGTGCAGCAGAGAATCTGTAGCCCCCTGGATGTGGTTGTGAAGCTGAACCTAACAGTGAGAGGGAAGCCTGTGGCGGAGATGGGGCTCACAGCTTGAGCTCCCAGAGGGCTGGGCTTAATCAGATGATTGAGTGTCCTGGGTCCCAGAGGCAAGAGGGGACCCCCCATTGTTACCAAGAAACTGCAGCTCCAAAACAGCTCCAGATGCCACATCATGTCACTTCCCACATGTGGCCAGCTTGGTGGTGCGGGGAGTGTCTGTCAGGGCAGGTGCTTGCGGAGGGGCCTGGCATTCCTCATGCTTTGCTGGACCCAGCTCATGAGCCCGGCCTGCATTTTCCACTGTTTCAGAGTTCTGGCTTCTACACTGACAACCCTGCCATTTCACTGGGTGCCAGGAAGAAAGACATCCTTACATTCTGCTGTGTTCTGGGTGGGTGGGATTGCTTATCTGACCTCCCAGATGAAATTAACAGGGATGTCTAATGCCATTCTCACTCACATGCACCAGATGCTGGGAGAGGGAAGAGGGGGTACATAATTGGAGAGGAAAGCAGAAGAGCCACAGTGGACATGCTGTGTATTACACAGAACAGCCAGCCGTGCAGCCTGCGGTTCCTGGGTGGAGTAAGTGCATCCTGAAATATGCATCTTCTAAGTGCATATAGTCTTCTAAGTGCATATAGTCCTGGTAATTAGAATTTCTATTCAAGGTAATTGATTTGAATTTCCCATCTGTGGGAAATGCAGCGACTTAGGTGGAAACATTACGTCTCCAAACAAAAATTCCATAAACAACCCCTTAAGACTTTGCTAATTTTATGTTAAGAAGTTCTCCAAGGAGGGACTTGGGAAATATTTTTGCCTTTGGGAAGAGAGAAAGAAGGGAAGGCAGAGGCAGATAGGAAACGGGACTGCCTGCTGTTTGCTGATTGCTATTGCACTCCTGGCTTGGTTCCATTCTCTCTGCTGCACTGGATCCAGCCTGGAGTCATTACTCAGAGGTTGAGAGACTGACTTGGAGATAAGGGGCCTCTCTTGCAGGTTTAACAGGAAGTACAGTGCAAATGCAGGCTTCCTGGAATCTTGCTGGGAGCTATTCATGCTGACACACATTGCTGAGCGAGAAGGGGGAAGCTTGTGCCTGCTGGTGGGGGGCTCCTGCCACCTACCATCTGTGGCTTTCAGGGTGGTCCCTGTGATTCTCTGCTCCTCGGGGCTTCCACTTCTCTGGATGGGGCTACTTGGCAGCATGGGAGCCGCCTCCAGCACCAGGGTCAGGTAGGCTGGTCTGATGGAGGAGAGTCCAGGTGGGGTGAGGGGGAACTCTCAGAGTGACTGTTCTGGGGGATATGCACAAAGGGGCAGGAGGTCTCACCACAGGAGGTAAACCTTGAATGGAAATGGGTGGTCCTGGGGCTGGAGACCACCAAGACTTCAGGCCATCAGGTAACACTAGGGATGGCCACCAGCAGGCCCAGGGCACCCACTTATTCATCTTCTTTCCTGGGAGGTCATCAGAAACCATGGCAGTTGGGGGGATAGGTCACAGGGAGGCAGGCACTGAGAGGCGCCAGCACTGGCAATGACACCGAAGCCAGTTGTCAGAGCCACAAGGACATGGCCTGTGACTTTCCTACTGCTGATGCATCCCTGCCTGTGTGTGACCCTTACACCAGCCCTGGGGCTCAGAGGGAGAAGGACTTGTGCAGGGGCCCTTGGCAGACGAGCAAAAGAATCGGGTTTGGACTCAGGTCTAGCTGATGCCATCTCCTTGACACCATAAAAGCTGGCAGAATGCACAGATGACACAGTCCACGCAGAGCTTGGCTGCAGC